ATTAACCCCCCCCCCCACACACACACACACACACACACAAAAAACATATCGATTCACTCATCGGAGTCGCCGTTAGCGGTCTGATCCGAACACTTTCTGTGCCCTGTACCGCCGCACGCGCTGCGCAGATCCGGCCCTCCGATAAGTGGAGCTCTCACTGCAGCCGGACAGCACGACTGTCTGCAGCCAAAGAAAGCTGGAAAAACTACTGTGACGTCTCTGCAAAAATGATGCTAGAATTGAATTCAATCAATACATTTTTTTTAAAAGGATATTTTAATTTAATGGATTTGATGCAGTTGACCGGGTGTCGTTCTCCGCGGTGCTGAAAGGCGAGTGCCAGCTTTAGGTACGTAACAAACGGCTCCTTTGTCCTTTTGGAGATTTAACTTAAATATAACATAACTCTTCATCTTAATATTGGCTTAATATAATAGTGGGGTAAACTGATGAATCATAAGTTAAACGTTAGAATAATTAGTGCACAATTAGACCCAATATTAACTTCCACAGGTGTCATTAAAGTCTCAGTTAGAATATTTTGGGATTATTATACCAAAGGCACTTTTTATCATTATGCACGGAAATATTCTTCTCCGCAGTTCGTTTTCTCGAAACATACATGCAAATATACCCCGCTATAGATCCACCATAGAAATCGAATAAAAATCCATAAATCCATCTCTAACCACGTCTCCGGTGCCGTTTCCCTTTTACCTGCCAGTTCTCCACCGTCCACATCTCACCGTCCTCTTCGTCGTTGGAGAGCGGGGTCCCCATCAGCGCGCCGAAAACCTGCACGAACACGACCACCGACAACACAACGGCAAACTTCAGAGCCTCCATCGTCACCTGCGGGCTAACAGAACTAAAGTGGACGCAGGCTCGGACGCACACAGGAGCACAAATAGCTCCACACCCAAAAGGAAGAAGAAGAAAAAAGAGAAGTAGTGTGTTTTGTTCTGCACTTGGCGCGTTGGTCCCGAGTGAAGGTCTCCGTTTGCTCTTATAAAGTCCCTCTGCTCGCCCCTCCCCACTTCCACCAACCTCAGATTAAAGTGAATAGTATATCCTGCAGGCCACGCATTTTTTTTCATTGTCTGACTCAGGCGTGATGTGCGTAGACAGTGAATCTAAAGCTGGATGTGTAGCTTTGTTGATTTTTCCTTTGCGGCACATGATTGAGGAGCTCATTAAGCAGCGAAATGTGGTATGAATGAACAGAGGGAAAGCTGATGCCCCAGTGTGTGTGTGTGTTTAACTTATCAGGTCAATGAACCACAAAGAAGAAGATGGGAAAAAATGGCTACAAGCAAAGACAGGTTGAAGACCGCAATATGCCAAACCAAATGACAAATAATACACAGTTATATTCTCAATTTCAGGCCTGCCTCCGAACCTGAACAACACGTCATGTTGTGTGCCATCTTTATGGCTGTGTCACCTCTCACAGGTGCAATTGGATTGTTTCAGCTGTGATGTATTCATGCTTTGTTTGTGCGACTCTGCAGGTGCGCGGTCCAGTACAGCATGATGAATTTTATAATATGAATAATCAGTGCAGCGACAGCTTTAGACAAGAACGGTTGGAACAGAAACTACATTCGGCATTTTTTTGGGCATTTCCGTGATTCCTGTGCAATTATAGTCAGCGGTAGATTTTTGGGGGGTGTCATCACTGTTAGCGCTGTAACTTTCTTTTGTTTGTGCATTCTGGTGTCCCCCATGAGTCATCGGAAGTATGTCAACCACAGTGTTTCCCAACCTGTGGGTTGTGGGCCCCCCCACTGTGTCCCAAGGTAAGTCTGAGGGGTCAAGGTGATTAAAGAGGTAAGGGGACAATCAGTTACATAAAGTCTATTTCTTTGTGTATTTCTTTCTGACTTTTCTTTCTCCTTAAAAAAAGGTTTAATATGTAATCAAATTGTTGGTTGCTGTTTGTAAACACAGTGTTCACCTGGTCTACTATGTGTACTCCAGTCCTCAATCAAAAGAACGACATAACAGATAAAGGCTGCAGAAAGCCGCACTTGAATGGTCAAAAAGTCAATGTGGTCTCACAGAAATACGTAAATTGACCGTTACGCATTACGTTTTGCCACCACATAAACAATTTGATTTTAGGTTTATGCCACAAAACCAGTGTTAGATTTTGGAAAAACATCATGGTTGGGCTTCAAATATGTACGTAGACTAAGTTAAACACATAAACACGTCACAAACATCACCAACATAACTTCACAATAGCAAATGGCTACAACAATAACTGTTAGCATTTATCTCAAATCATCATCGGAATCAGTAGCACGGCTGTGGTTAAAATGTCAATATCAATAGCAACGTCATGTTTGACAAATGGATGCCTCAGTCACAGTAGGGGAGAGGAAGAACTGTTCGTCTTTTGCTTCGATAATTTAACACCCAATTTCCCTTCACGAGGGCTTATTCTCTACAAAAACAGCTGTCCAGAGATCAGTCTCACCAACTCTTAACCTTTATGATCACAAGGGAATTATCTGAGCTTCTACAAAAGACTTGACACACACACACACACACACACACACACACTCACACACACACACACACACCCTAACTTCATAAAGCACTGTCTCAAAACAAATTGTTAGGAAATACTGCCATGAAATGTTAAGGAAGCGATGTGGTGCATGTGGTTCAAGTGTGCACGTTTGCCAAAGAACCTGTGATATGTTCGTCATCATCTCTAATTATATCCTTATGAGAAGTGACACCCTCGGTCAGATGGGAGCGTACATCATCAAGATGTTTTGGTCATCCTTACCTGCCGAATCCGCTTCAGGGTCATGGAGCTGACTGACATTTAATCAGTCATCTTTAACTGCGGCATCAACTATGGTTGACCACTGATTAGTCATTTATTTCTCCATTTATTTAATCCAATGACAGTGGTTGGAGTTAAGAGGTTAAAGAAAAGATTACCAGCTGCAATCAGTCTCCTTTGACAATCAGGAACTATTGAGAATCAAAGAGGAAACAATTCAATTCAGTTCAATTCCATTTTTATTTGAATAGCCCAATATCACAAATTTGCCTCGGAGGGTTTTACCGTCTCTACATCGATATCATCTGTCCTTTGTCCCTTGGATCCGAAAAAGGAAAACAATAAAAACAGTAATAGTAAGCAGTGACATCAATAGAAATGTGACTAATGATAATAATAGTAGCAGGGACTACGGCAGTAGGCACGACCACGGCCCAGGTATAGCCATGATCCATGGAAACCTGCAAGACGAGAATGCACAGAGACTCCAGGGATGAAGGCAAGTATAACATGCATTGGTGGGACATGAATGCATTCTGATGGAGCGGGAGAGGAGGAGAGGGAGGAGCTCAGTGCGTCCAAGAAAGTCCCCCGGCAGTCTGGGACTATAGCAGCATAACTATGAGCAATACCGAAGAGGAAAGTCTAGAGTCAATGTTAGGCAACAGATTGGATCCATGTTTACTTCCTGTCAGCTTTTGTCATTGACGTACTGTACACTGCAACAAGAAATATATAACAGAAGGAAGGCTCATTACGTAACACATTGGTGCAAAGTGTATAAACTTTCAGCTCAGCCGACATTGAGATGAACGGCATCCCTGTCTCCTCTTTTATGACCTGTCATTTTAACAGGTTATTACCCCGGAAGCCAGAATCATGTGTAATTTTTTGCATTGTTAGCTCGCTAACATTTGACATATTGGGGTTCATGTATATTTCCTCAGATAGCTTGTATATTTTGAATTATTTGGATGTGGCAAGAGACGGAAATCATGTCCATAATGTTTCCTAATATTGTCAGGAAATGGTACTTATCTCTCAATTTATATACCTCTATGCATCTGGAACTTTATCTCTTACTGGACCGGTAAGTGATAAACTAATTTAACATTAAAGTGAGGAATGTCTAAGTTTGACTAACTAACGTTAGCCAGAAATATTTGAGACGTCCTACAAGAAGTAGCTATTGTAAGAGTTATAATGTTGCTTAGTGATGAGTGGTATTTGATTTTTCAGTGCAATAAACGGCAGCCCGTTGGAATATTTGTGGACACCGTAGCGTCCCTCTAACACGTAAAGATTAGAGTTAAAAGCTTTAATCTTCGTGAAAGTAACAGACAGACATGGAGCTGCGGTGTTGGTGAGAAAATATCAGTTAACATCATGAACAGTATTTTTTATTTTCAATGGTGTGAAAATTCTTCAGTCAAAGGTGAAATAACACAGATATGATGGCTTGTACTTGAATTTCTTATGCCCACTTCATAAACTTCAATACCACTGGCACCAAAGCAAAATTGGGATGCTGTCCCGATGATGTAAGGCCCCTTCCTTCCACTGCAACAGGAAATGTACTGGGACACATTGTGAATGTTTATGTTTACAACTGTGAAGTGGTCCGTCCTTAAGTCCAACTTGTGCCTCGTCCTGAATATCGGAGACCACCTGCCTTGGCATGACGCTGGACCGCTGCAGGGTTCACAGAAGAAAATCACCAAGTCATTACCTCAGTTATTAACCATTCTACTATGATGACTAAGTGACTCACATAATTGATGAAATCAATGTTCATATTAAAAATGTAAAGAGTAGGCTATAGAACATGATTTGAGGATCTTCAATTATACTAACAATAATATTAAAAATATGAATGTGTTTTTCTGGACAAGTATTAGAGAATATTTCTCTGACTGGGGGTATACGTTGAAGTCGTTAAGTACGTTAATTTGAAGTCACTGGAAGTCGATAATTGCAATTGCCTCGCAATTTCAATAATAGCAGAATGGAAGTGCTTCGAGCTCTGTCTCCTTTTCTGTAGTTGGTCAGTTTGTGAAAAGTAAAACCTGAACACACAAGAAAGTCATACTGATTATATATCATAGCTTTCATCAGATATGTGAAAACAAGTGGGCTGAAGAGTTTCTTTTTTTTTTGTTACATTAAAAATTAATTTATCATATCTATATCTAGCTCTTCCACCTAAATTAATCAAACTGAATTTAATTCCACATTAGAATGAGTGCATACCAATGGCAAGAGCTACATCATCCATATGGTATGCAAATGGCCGTAGTCACCGTGACGTCACCCATTGGTTTGTGGACTGTGCCTTGAAGCCTGTTTGGCATTTTGACCGTCGCCATCTTGGTTTTAGGCTGTCTTGCAACCAGAAAAGGCACGAGAGGGTGGAGCCAAGTACAACAGAATGCTAAAATAAGAAATTTTTCAGCAACCAAAAATGTTACAATTACTTTCATGAACTGAAAACACACTGCGAAAGGATTAAAGACGCAAGATGAAAACACGGAAAACGCCCAAAATCCCATTTTATCCTCTGGCAGCCATAATTACATTTCTGGGGATCACCATGTCACCCATGTCAGTAGAATTCATCCTCTGGGGACCACGAACATCTGTACAAAATGAACCAATAAAATGAACAGCAAACATACAGCAAGTTCTTAATAAACCAAATGAAGAAATAAATATACGTAGGTATGTTTGAAAAGGAATGGGCAGAAATAAAAAGTTAGAGCCCTTTCGATAACTTAAATAATGAATGCAATGTGTATGACTTATCCACATAAATAATTATTCATAAAATTGAACATCCTACGACTTCAAAGACTCAGTGTGTGAGTGGTTACTTGTTTCCCTGAAAACCCCAGGTTCGAGTGCTGGCCGAGCTCTGGGAGACATTTGACTCTGCAGGATGAGCTTTGTAAGATGCAACATGTGGATTTTGATTTTGTAAGGATTTGTTTGAGGTATGATTTCAGCTCTGGGTTCTCCCTGATAAGATAATGCGGTAACATTATCCTGGTGGCATCAACCCACAATGCAGCAATGGTCATCAAGGATGCCAACAGGGGAAAGTCAGTGCAGATAATTTGGTTTGCGCAGGAAAATTACAGAAAGCGTTTTACACAACACAGCAAAGCTTTTAGGGG